TAATCCAAAGTCGGGTGGCATGAAGGACTTACTGATCCCAGTGACGGCTCTCACAGCTGGCAGTGTGCTCTTACTGTTACTCCTTGTGTTTGGAGTGTGGCTGGTGCCCAAGGTGAATGTCATACACCTAAAACTTGTTGCATGCCTGTACATCCGAAGATAATCAGAAACTTTGTAAATGCATTACACACTGTAAAACCTGATAAATTAAGAATACTCAAAACATTTGTGGAAACTTATTGCCTCAAAATATTTGAGTAAACAAACTAAATTTCTTTAAGTTAGTAGAGCTTAACATTTTTATGACAAGTGGGGCGGGGCTGAGAGCCATGGTAGCCAAGCCAAGCCTCCCTTCCATGATCCCACCCAACTCTTCACAATGATAATTATACACAACTTGCTTCCGTTAACATCACATTCATTCAGATCTTTATAGTTAAGTGCTAGACAGCAACGGCACACTGGCACGCACTAATATATTTGTCTTATAGACTCACAATATTTACATGTAAATAGTCAAACAACATGCAGTATAAAGAGACTTTCAATTTTGATGTCCATCCTCAACCTAACCACAGGCTCTACTCTTCACCACAACGGTAACACTACAAAACCAACATAACAGAAACCTACATAAATCCTAACATTACACAACATTTAAGTACTAACTTATGTCTCTCTATGTTAATCTTGTGTAAAAACACACAAAATAACACTTAATTTCTACATTTATTTTCCTTGTTGTCTGATGCAAAGCATGCTGGCAACTAGAAAACGCAATAATTTTAGGTTCACCTTACTACAACATTTTAAATTTAAACTTATTTCAATTAAGTCCAATTAACTTTCATTATTATTTGAGTGAAGTTAACTCATTTCATTTAATTAATTTCACTGTTCGGTTTTACAGTGCACATATGCAACCTGGAAAGTGCAGATTTCAAATTTGTCCAGCCACATGATTACACATTTAGTGTCTATGACCAATACTTTTGTATTATATATATCAAAGAGGCATTTTCCAGCAAATGATTTTGGAGGTTAATAATCAAGCTGAATTGTTCCTCTCTTTTGTCCCAGATGAAGAAACTGACCAGAAGCGAAGAGAAAGTAGAAGAGGAGAAAAGGTGTAACAATGGAGTGTACGAGGTCATGACTGTTCACCGAAAGACAGAGTGTATATGAGACATTCCCTAGTACTAGTAAAATCCCTAGTACTCGAATATATATATATATGTATGTAAACCACGTAAGTTGGTATTATATATATATATATATATATATATATATATATATATATATATATATATATGTATGTAAACCACGTAAGTTGGTATTATATATATATATATATATATATATATATATATATATATATATATATCATACCAACTTGTGTGTGTGTGTGTGTGTGTGTATGTGTGTGTGTGTGTGTATAAACAAAATATGTTTTTCGTACTGTTTTGCATGTTGCTGTGACTCAATCAGTCCTACGCACCTACTTTAGTTCAGTCTGATTGAGGTTGGTTTTCTGACCTATTTCTGTTAAAATATGGCAACAGAAGATTCAGAGAAATGCTCTTAATCTCTGTTAATCTCTTCTAAATGACTATTGGTTTAAATTGAATTTTCAGTCCTCTTCTATTTTCTGTAAATATTTCTTCTGAGTTATTTTGTGTATATATTTCAGATTGTTCAAATCCTTTAGCATTAATGAGTGATTCAGTTTTGGCTGCAAATACTATGCTTTGATTATCTTTTATTTTTAGCTGTGTTGTCTATGCATTTGTGTATTCAATTTTTAGTGAATTAATTTGTGTATGTTCTACATATTGTGTAATATAATCCACTATGGATGTTGCCCTTAAACAGCTGGTGTAATTTTTTTGATAACTTCATTGTATAGCTTCAGTAATACACATTTATGTGTTGCTTTACAAGAATAATGGCAAATGTATGACAGACAACAGAAAAACAGGATTTGAAAATGTCACCTTAGTTTCAGGCTGTGCTTTTATTTGCCTTGGCTCCTTAGTCTATATTGGGGGCTTGCATAATCTGCTTCTCTGAGACGAAGCTGCAGACTTCCTCCTGTGGTGGAGCACATTCGTGTCAAGACCCCTGTAGAGGAAATCTGCCCCTTCTTCAGAGAATGTCACCTCTATTCTCACTTTAGTCCACCAACATGTGCACTTTTTTCAGAGGGCTTTATTCAGATATGAGTGGCGTTTGAAACCTCAAAGTGATAAACACTGCATTTGGGGAAAAACTGCTGTGATACTTTAACCAGAAACAAGCGGATGTGTGAGAAAATGTGTGGGTTTTAAAAATGTTTGTCAGATCAATTGCACAGTCAGTCCTGTCTACATTTGGTGTATTACGTTGTACCTGGGAAATGTCATGCAGTTGTCATCATTTCAAAAAGTATTTTCTGGAAAATAAAAAAAATCAAATATTTGCTGTAATGTTTACTTGCAGTGACTGGAAACATGTAACCAGTGAAAGGTTTTGTTTTTAACAGCATAGGAAATAAGTTTCGGTGTGATGTGACCTTTTGCAGTTTTTTTCAGTTGTTTAAAAAAAACATTAACCAAAATCTCAAACCATAATGACATTTCACACAAATTCCAAAACATTTTTCAAAACCTTAAACACAAATTTACAGCAGGCGCTCTTTTTAAGCCCTATAAAAACCCACAGTGGCATCACAACTTGACTGGTTCTCACCAGGCGAACACTCGTGAGAATAACAGGCTATGGGAAGTTTCTCAATGTTCCTCGCCTCATGGGTTGTTACCAGTGTTGGGGAAAGTTACTTTTAAAAGTAATGCAT